ATATATATCTACATACAAATATATATCTACATACAAATATATATCTACATACAAATATATATCTACATACAAATATATATCTACATACAAATATATATCTACATACATATATATATTTACATACATACATACATATATATATATATACATACATACATATATACATACATACCTGCTGGACAGAAAAGTAATTAAAGTTAGTGAAGTAACAAACTGGGACCTGATAGGCCACTATTCTTTAGAGCCATGTGTAGCATTCATGTGTAGAGTTCATGTGTAGAGTTCATGTGTAGAGTTCATGTGTAGAGTTCATGTGTAGAGTTCATGTGTAGAGTCCATGTCACAAGCTGATTCAATTGTACAGTATATGTAATATGAACTACTACTTCCCTGATTCACTGCATTTTTAAATAAAAATAAATTTCATGCTTTAGTCTCTGAAAATATTTATTTTATATGTATACTGTTATAACACTGAGAGCAGAAGCTCAAAATACCCAGTTAAAGTTGTGAGTTTACATGTGTTTGTATGCATGTACATGCATATGTATGAATAAAAACATACATATATTTATACTTACAGTGGACACCAGCTAACACACTTTATGCCAACTTTACAAATTTCTTGCATATGATCAATAACTTTATACCACAACATTTTACAATAAACAGTCTCTCACTGTCATATACATAGTTAGTTGCTCAATATTTGGGGAATTTGTTTGCAGCTTTTGTTATTTACATGCATTATGCTAAGTTTTGTACCACTCTGGTATGGAGACCTGGTAATATCCATATTTAGTTTTGTATCAGACTATAGTGTGGAGACTTCATTATATCTCTGCTCTCGAGACGACCAACAGTTAGTTTAATCACACTATTATATAGTATGTGTTGGTGGCACATTTATCACTGAAGTAACATTGTAAACCTTGTATGTGTTGGTGGCACCATTAATAACTAAAGTAATGTAATAGATGTATTTCTCTCTTGTTTCCACTATACACAATAATATACATCTCAAAGTTTGACAATTGCTTACAATTGTTTGACTCCAGTATGATATGTAATATTAAACTAATTAATAGTTACATATATAATATGTTGTGTACATAAAATAGATTTACCCTTGTATACTGTCTTGTTTTTAAATAGTTGCTAACATGACTTGATGGATGGGTAGTGCAGAGTGTAATGTGTCAGGTGGAGGGTGTGGGACAGTGCCTCCATCAGGTGCAGGGTGTGAGAGAGTACCTGTGTCAGGTGGAGGCTGTAGGGCAGTACTTGTGTCAGGTGGAGGCTGTGGGTCAGTACCTGTGTCAGGTGGAGGCTGTGGGGCAGTACTTGTGTCAGGTGGAGGGTGTGGGACAGTACCTCCATCAGGTGTAGGGTGTGGGACAGTACCTGTGTCAGGTGGAGGCTGTCTGGCAGTACTTGTGTCAGGTGGAGGCTGTGGGTCAGTACCTGTGTCAGGTAGAGGCTGTGGGGCAGTACCTATGTCAGGTGGAGGTTGTGGAGCAGTACTTGTGTCAGGTAGAGGCTGTGGGTCAGTACCTGTGTCAGGTGGAGTTTGTGGGACAGTGCCTGTGTCAGGTGGAGGCTGTGGGTCAGTACCTGTGTCAGGTGGAGGGTGTGGGACAGTACCTGTGTCAGGTGGAGGCTGTGGGACAGTACCTGTGTCAGGTGGAGGGTGTGGGACAGTACCTGTCTCAGGTGGAGGGTGCGGGACAATACCTGTGTCAGGTGGAGGCTGTGGGACAGTACCTGTGTCAGGTGGAGGCTGTGGGACAGTACTTGTGTCAGGTGGAGGGTGTGGGACAGTACCTGTGTCAGGTGGAGGCTGTGGGACACAACCTGTGTCAGGTGGAGGGTGTGGGACAGTACCAGTGTTGGGTGGAGGGTGTGGGACAGTACCTGTGTCAGGTGGAGGCTGTGGGACAGTACCTGTGTCAGGTGGAGGCTGTGGGACAGTACCTGTGTCAGGTGGAGGCTGTGGGACAGTACCTGTGCCATCCCCTCCTACCACCACTGTCTCCCTACAACTACCACACAAACCCACCATCTTCAGGTCACCATTCTTCTTCACACACTGATAACATCACAGTAATATTAAAGACCACTGCACTGTCAACACTGGTGAAACACTGGAATATTAAAGACCACTGCACTGTCAACACTGGTGAAACACTGGAATATTAAAGACCACTGCACTGTCAACACTGGTGAAACACTGGAATATTAAAGACCACTGCACTGTCCGGTGGCCCGGTGGCCTGGAGGGTGGCCCGGTGGCCTGGTGGCTAAAGCTCCCGCTTCACACATGGAGGGCCCGGGTTCGATTCCCGGCGGGTGGAAACATTTCGACACGTTTCCTTACACCTGTTGTCCTGTTCACCTAGCAGCAAATAGGTACCTGGGTGTTAGTCGACTGGTGTGGGTCGCATCCTGGGGGACAAGATTAAGGACCCCAATGGAAATAAGTTAGACAGTCCTCGATGACGCACTGACTTTCTTGGGTTATCCTGGGTGGCTAACCCTCCGGGGATTAAAAATCTGAACGAAATCTTATCTTATCTTATCTTATCTTGTCAACACTGGTGAAACACTGGAATATTAAAGACCACTGCACTGTCAACACTGGTGAAACACTGGAATATTAAAGACCACTGCACTGTCAACACTGGTGAAACACTGGAATATTAAAGACCAC